AGCTACGCCAACCCTGTCACAGATATATTCATTCTGCATTTTGTCTCTAAGTGTCAAACTACTCATCCACCTAAGCATCTTTTCTTAACAACAATTAACTTTATTTTGTGCTTCTCAAAGGCCAACATTCTGTGTCATAGAGCATTGTAGGTCTCATCACAATCTTATAAAATTTTTCTTTCAGTCTAAGCAGTTATTTTCTATCACATAATTGGCATGACGCATTCATCCACTTCAACCAACCAACTTGAATTCTACTAATAAAATCTCATCTATATCACCATCAGTTTGAACAATACTTTGAACAATAAAACTGAGATATCTAAAACATTCACACCTTTTATTGATTTGGTTTGAACAATAGAACTGAGATATCTAAAACATTCACACCTTTTAATGATTTGATCACCCATGATTTCAAATCTACCACTAGAGCTACTACTACTAAAATTAAATTCCATATATTCAGTTTTAGTTCTACTTAAACGGAGGCCTTTAGACTCCAATGTTGAACCATAATTCAAGTCTTTCTTGAACTCATTCTCTAGTCTTATCCACAAGAGATATCCTCAGCGAAAAACATACACTAAAGTAATTTCTCCTATAAATGTCCAATACCACTAACAACACCCATAACTAAAGCAAAAAGAAATAGGCTTAAAGTCGATCCCTGATGTAATTCAACTGAAATAGGAAAATACTTGGTCAATCCTTCTGTTTGAACACAACAAACAACTCTGGTATAAATATCTTTAATGACTTGAATATTAGTAATATCAGCACATTTCTTCTCTAGAACTCTCCAAAGGACGTCCCTTGGAACCTTATCTTAAGCTTTTTCTAAGTCAAAAAAAATCATATGTAGACCCTCCTTATTCTCTTTGTACTTCTCCATCAAACCTCTCAATAAATGTATAGCTTCCATAATAGACCTGGACGAATAAATTGAAACTTATTATGACAAATCTTTGTAACACATCTTAGCCTATGTTCAATTATCCTCTGTCATAATTTTAAAGTTTGACACATCAACTTAATTACTTTATAACTTGCACACTTTTGTACCCCCTTTATTCTTAAAAATGGAACCAAAAGACCTTTCCTCCACTCCTCAGAAATTATTTTAATTTTTAAAATAATATTAAAGAGTTTAGTAAGCCAAGAAACTCTCAAATCTCCTAAATAGTTCTACACTTCAATTGGGATATCATCCGTTCCTACTGGTTTTTTGCCCTTGGTTTTACTTAAAGCATCATCAACTTCTCTTTTACTAATGTGATGATAAAAATAAAATATTTTATTTTCATTAACGATATTAAAATCACTAATGTCGATCGTATTTTCAAAAGCTTCATTAAAAAATTTATCGAAATAACTCACACACCTATGTTGAATATCTTTCTTAAAAAAAAAAGTACTTTTTGATTTTCATCTTTACTACACTTTTTAAAAAAAAGTAATTTTTGATTTTCATCTTTACTACACTTTACTTCAGTTAAATCTTTATTTTCTTATCTTTTTATTTTGTTAGTTTAAATAAAAATGAAATCTAATTTCATTTCAATTGAATTTTATTCAACCCCACTCAATATGATTTTAATATGTATATTTCACTATTTTATACTGGTAGTAATGTTTTCATGTTCCTTGTAATCTTATTTAATATTTCTCCTATATTTTATTGATCTATATTATGGTTTAGCCACTTAAAATAATAGTATTAAACCTTTGTCTTAAGTTTTTATGTGGGACATTATAAATCATGTTTAAATAAATCTCTGAAAAATTATCACATGTATAAGATCATATAAGAGTTAATTATGTATAAATTTGATATGCTAACCTTAATTAATTTACTACATAGAAAAAATTTTCTAGTGTTCATTAATTTGCTAACACTCAGTGAAAAATGGCTAATGAATTTTCTTGCTTTTTTTTATATTTTATTTTGTTTTTTTGTCAGGCTACCGAAAAAGATACCAGTGACTTAGGCTTTTACCCGAATCAGACTCATGTAACCCATTTAACATAAGGAATAACAATTATTTGAGTTAAAATTGGGTCAATTTTCATTCAACTCTGGTTTGACGGGTAGATTTCAAGTCAATTTAGGATTGGTAGGTCAATTTGAGTTGGTAGGTCAACCTGAACCCTAACCAAAAAGCTAAACGGGTTAGGATATTTAACCTGAACCTGACAGAAAAATTATTCGAGTCAACCCAAACCTGAATTTTTTTTAGTCAGGTTCATGTTGTGTTGGCATGGGAAGTCAATTTGAAAAATAACAATTAGCCTCTACTTAATATGAGTCTTATAATTTCCTAAAATAATACACATGAATAAAATAAAAGGGTTAAGAAAGAACAGAAATATTTTATATTAACATGTTTAAAACTGTTCATTCCACAACATACTATAAATTACATGGCGAAACTATATAAATCTTTGTAGATTTGACTTTGTTTGAAATTTAAATCAACTTCCCCAAATTTATAAATAAGTATAAAAGTTAAAATCTAAAGTAGAGAAATAGTAGCCTACATTGACACATATAATTTTCTTAGCTAGCATGACCAACAAAATTGGGTCTTTAATCACCAAAATTAGCTTTCTCTCTCAAGCCCTCTTTTCTCATTCATTTATCTCTCTATAATGGTTCAAAAGTAAAGAAAAAAAAATTGTTTAGTAAGTTACAATATTTATTATATTACCCAAAAAAAAATATGATAAAGGAGATAATGTAAATATTCATTAAATATTAATTTCATATTCATTTTTCTAGATATTGAAATATATGACCCCAAAAAAAAATATGATAAAGGAGATAATGTAAATATTCAAATTTAAATATTAACTTCATATTCATTTTTCTAGATATTGAAATATATGACTCCAAAAATCATGAAAAAGTAATCAATAAACGGAGCATTGTGCTTACAACATACGGGTGAAAATGATTTGTAAAATAAATATCAAATGATTCTAGAAAATCTACTTTTATAAAAAGACACTACTTTATTAATGAAATTAAATCCAATAAGAATCATTTAGTTTTCATATCTAGGATACTCATAAAAATTGGTAAAATTATACATAAAATAAAGTTGTGAATTCTCTACAAAGTGATTAAAATGATTTGTGAATCAAACATAAAATAAATATAGCCAATTTGATAAAATACAATAAGGTCAATTTTGATATGTTGACAAGCAGATGTCCGACAAACTGATCTGAGTATGATGCGTATATATATAGACACACACACACACACACACACACACATACATACACATATGAGCTGTATCTTGAAATGTTTTCCCACTGAATATAATTGACTTAATGTTCTCCCATACTAAACTTATTCACAAAAAAAAAAAAAAAAAAAAAAAAAAACACAAAAATTACCCTACACCAACATTACCCAATTATGTACTAAATTAACCAACTTTGTGATAATTTTAAAGACCACCACATAACTATTCATTTTTTTGTGAAGAAATGATAGGTTGGCTCACCACAAATTTAAAAAAAGGTTTGCTATATTGACATTAAGAAATGAATTGAGAATAAAATATAATTGATTTAATGTTCTTTACTAAATGAGCCAAGTTTGTGATAATTTTAAAGACCACCGCATAACTATTCATTTTTTTTGTGAAGAACTGATAGGTTGACTCACCACAAATTTAAAAAAACTTTTGCTATATTGACATTAAGAAATGAATTGAGAATATGAGAGAAGGTTAAAAATTTAACAGTTTTATGAGATTTTATTGCAATCAATTCTGTTTTTGATATACTATAGAAAGTTAGAATGATAAATAAGATGATATAATATTTCTCGTTTTTATTATACTCCTCTCAATCAAAATTAGTCCATACACCATAAGGAGCAAATTTGATCTTAAGAGTTAGCATTAGCACATACTGAAGCTTTTGCTTGATTTTATTGCAATCAATTCTGTTATTGATATACTATAGAAAGTTAGAATTATAAAATAAGATGATACAATATTTCTCATTTTTATTATGCTCCTCTCAATCAAAATTAGTCCATACATCATAAGGAGCAAATTTGATCCTAAGAGTTAGCATTAGCACATACTGAAGCTTTTGCTGGATTTGCAATATGAGCAAACCATTTTCAAAATCATTAGTTAAGTTTGACCCGAGCTAACCCAAAAGTCTCTACTCACAATATTATCGATCAATATTCATCTGCAATGAGCAGCCGATTGAGAACAAGCCATTCTTTAATGAAGCATATGATAAAATAGACCAACAATATTTAAGATAATAAATGACTCGGTCGGTACTTTAACATCAACTTTATATATATTTCTTTCCTTTTTTTCTTTTGAAAGATAATATGTTCAACGATAATGTAAACCGGTCGGTACTTTAACATCAACTTTATATGTATATATTTTCCTTTTTTTTTCCTTTTGAAAGATAATATGTTCAACGATAATGTAAACTAAAGTATCCAATTTGATGAGAAATTCAAATTTCTATTCTCATACTTTATTATATAGCTTGTTTAAATTTGAAGATTGGAGAGTAGCAATTGATAACTTCCTCACCAAATAAAACTTTAAAATAAGAATATTTATAATTGAGCTACTTATGTATTTACATATCTAACACCTAAACTTCAATTTTTACATATGTGTCGTCTTACCTATGCATGAAAAGGTGTATTTCACTTTTTGAAAGTTAAGAAGATGATATTTTTTATGTGACATAAAAGTATTTGGGTGGTATAAATATAAATAATAAAGTTTTAAGTGATAGATGTGCAAATGGAAAGAAATTGATTGGCATGTACTATTTACACCGTAAAATAAATATTTGGGTTGTAACTGAATTAATTCAAAGTACAAAGGGTGGTCAATTTGCATTATTGGCTCAGTCTTCAAGCCAATTAGAAGACAAGGGTCAATGTCCTCCTTTCCTGCAAATCAACTTTGGCCTTCCATCAATATTTATTTTTCTCCAGGATAGCTTGGAAACAAAACGAACTGAAAGATTTCAGAAAATGGCTTCTGCTTGGAGCTTGAAATGTATTTTTTATCTCTGTTAACAATTTGCTTAGCAATTTCAAAGACTGTTTTTTGTTAATATCTGACGTTCATCAATTCGTGAAATCCTTGACATTTCACTTTGTTATTTTGCGTAGATTTTGGCTTCGCAATAAACATTTACGGCAATCTCATGTATTTGCTATGCTTGATGAATTTTATGAGTCTTTATCTTGAATGCAGATTGGCTTTTATGGACCTGTGGGCAGGAGTTTAATCTGGGAAACTCGTTCTCCCAAAGAAGATTAATAGATGCTGTGAATCTTGCTTTTCTTTTAATTTCAGCTCTGGGTTTTCTGATATCATATTTCAGAAGAGAAGGTCCTCATGAAAGGAGAAATAGGAGCTGGGAATTATTCACTACTTCACTTCTTTGTTCAGTGCTTAGCATTTCTTGCTTCAGTCTCAGTCTTTGGATTCTATTTGATGGAAGCAGTACTCTCACTCAGTTTAATTGGTTAGTTTATTTTGTTAGAGGGATAATTTGGGTTTCTTTGGCTTTTTCTCTAAACTTTCATCATTCTAAATGGCTAAGAACCATACATTTAAGTTGGTGGATCACATTTTCAGTTCTGCTATCTTCTTTTAATCTGGAAATGCTTATCAGAGGATCAGGATTTCAAATCCTTGACTTGATTTCATGGCCTGTGAATTTGCTGCTTATTTTCTGCGCTTTCAAACTACTAATGAGAACCAGTTTTAGTGATAGTTTATCCAGCCCACTACTGCTCCATCAAAATGAAAGAACAAATTTGAACAAAGCTAGCTTATTTAGCAGATTGACATTTTCATGGCTTAATCCATTGCTTCGCTTAGGTTCTTCTAAGCCACTGGCTCTAGAAGACATTCCCGCTTTAGATTCTGATGATGAGGCATTCTTAGCTTACCAAACTTTCTATAGAGCATGGGAACTTGAGAGGAAAAATAGTTCCATAATGAGAAATTTGGTTCGCAACTCATTAGCCAAGTGCTATAAAAAGGAAATGTTATTAGTTGGGCTCTATGCTTTACTAAAAGCAGTATCTGCTGCAGCTTCACCTTTAATACTCCATGCCTTCATTTCGTTTTCAAACCAAGAGGAGAAAGATCTTAACTTTGGCATCTTTCTGATTGTCTGTCTTGCCTTTTTAAGGTTTGTTGATTCAATCTCTCAAAGGCATTGGTTTTTTGATTCAAGAAGGTTTGGAATGAGAATGCGTTCCGCCGTCATGGCTGCCATTTTTCAGAAGCAGCTAAAACTTTCAAGCCAGGGAAGGAGAAGGCATTCAACTGGAGAGATTGTGAACTATATTGCAGTTGATGCATATAGGCTTGGGGAGTTTCCGTGGTGGTTTCATATGGCTTGGAGCTGTCCTTTTCAAATATTACTCTCAATTATTGTACTTATCATAACTGTAGGAGCTGGAGGAGCACTCCCAGGAGTGATCCCCTTAATCATTTTCGGCTTCCTTAATGTCCCAATTGCAAAGATTATGCAGTACTATCAAGCACAGTTCATGCTTGCTCAGGATGAAAGGCTGAGAGCTACATCAGAAATACTGAACAACATGAAGATAATCAAGTTGCAATCATGGGAGGAAAGGTTCAGACGAATGGTTGAATCTCTAAGAGATGTGGAGTTCAAATGGTTAAAAAACATTCAAATCACAAAATCATACGGAAGCGCACTGTATTGGATGGCGCCAACTGTTGTTTCTGCTGTAGTTTTTGCCGGAACCGCAGCTCTAAAGAGTGCTTCTCTCAACGCTAGCACAATTTTTACAGTTCTGGCGACTTTAAGAGTTATGTCAGAGCCAGTCAGAATGTTACCAGAAGCTCTTTCAGTTCTCATTCAAGTAAAGGTTTCCTTAGATCGAATTGATGTTTTCTTATTAGAAGATGAGATCAGAGAAGAGAGTGAGCGCAGGAGTACGTTAAGTAATTTTAACCACACAATTTTAATGCATAATTGTTGCTTCAGTTGGGATTCAGATGCAGCTATTCCAGCTTTAAAGAACATTAATTTGAATATTAGAAAAGGACAGAAGATTGCTGTCTGTGGCCATGTTGGTGCAGGAAAATCATCACTTATATATGCAATACTTGGGGAGATACCTAAACTCTCAGGATCTGTAAGTTAACAGTATAAATTAGGTAGAAATGTTCATGAAAAGGGCTGTTACAAAGAAAAAGAAAAATTAAAACTTCTTGCTTTATTGTTCAGGTGACTGTATTTGGTACAGTTGCTTATGTTTCACAAACATCATGGATTCAAAGCGGAACGATTCGGGACAACATACTATTTGGGAAGCCCATGAATAAGGAACGCTATAACAATGCTATCCGATGTTGTGCACTTGATAAGGATATTGAGAATTTTGTTCATGGAGACCTTACAGAGATTGGCCAGAGAGGTATCAACATGAGCGGGGGACAGAGGCAAAGGATTCAGTTAGCAAGAGCAGTTTACAGTGATGCAGATAATTACCTTCTTGATGATCCATTCAGTGCTTTAGATGCACACACTTCAGCTATTCTGTTTCATGTAAGAATGATATGTTTACACCTGCAAATTGGATGGCTTTGTGCAATTCAAAATTTTTTATTTCATCAAACCGGATACTAAATTTAAAAAATAGATTGCATTACAACTTTGATGTTTAAATTCTTCTTGGCATTAAAATTGTCTCACAATCGAGCTAAAATATTGCATTTGCTGCATGTCAAAAGATAGGAGCTTCATGCAATACTAGATTTTGTATCGATTTTCGCAGCTAAAGAGAATGATATGAAATTTGCAGGATTATGTGATGACTGCTTTGGAAAATAAGACGGTCATTCTTGTGACTCATCAAGTTGAGTTTCTAGCTAAGGCTGATGGAATTCTGGTAAGCGGCTTCTTCAGCTTTTCTTTTTTTCAATGCAATTTTACCATATAAATAATCAATTGATTGTTCTCGTTGCATGAACTTTATATGATTGCTCTCAGGTAATAGAAAATGGAGAAATTACACAAACAGGAACCTATGAGGAACTTCTAACTTCAGGAACAGCATTTGAGAAGCTTGTTAAAGCTCATCAATCTTCGATGATCACATTAGATTCTTCAGTCCAAGAGAATGGAAGTAATAGACACGGAAGAGAGGAAGATCACCTCATAGTTACAGGGTTGCACTACATAAAAGAAAACAGTAAAAATGAGATCTCAAGCGAAGGTATTTCAGCTGTCCAACAAACAGAAGAAGAAGAAAAGGAGATGGGCAGTGTTGGATTGAAGCCTTACAAAGATTATTTTCGGGTGTCCAAAGGTTTTCTACTTCTCACTTTGGTTCTCTCCGCTCAATTCTTCTTTGTTGGTTTGCAGACTTTATCAACCTATTGGATGGCATTTGCCATTCAAAAGAATCGAGTTAGCAACAGCCTTTTAGTAGGAATCTATGCAGTAATTTCAATCCTTAGCTGCTTTGTAGCATATGCTAGAACTTTGCTGGCAGCAGAACTTGGACTAAAAGCTTCAAGATGTTTCTTTACTGCACTCATGGATTCAGTATTCAAGGGTCCAATGTCTTTCTTCGACTCAACACCGGTGGGAAGGATTTTGACCAGGGTATTAATTCAATCATAACTTTATGAAACTTAGAACTGATTTCTGAACTTGCATCGATCATTATAATCTGTTTAATAGACCATATCTTGAAAATTCTATACGATGTATTCTGTTCAGCAACACCAACATCTTCTATGCTTAAAAAGAAAAAAATAAAATAAAAATTTGTTGCAGGCATCTTCAGATTTATTTACACTGGATTTTGATGTTCCATACTCCCTTGCCTTCTTCATAGCTGGTTCTATTGAAGTTTTATCAACAATATTAATCATGGCTACTGTAACATGGCAAGTCTTAGTGGTGGCATTTCCAGTTCTCATAATAGTAGCATATCTTCAGGTGTATCTATTCATCTTTCTAGTTATTTTTTATTTTTTATTCTAAAATTAGACATTCTCTCACTGGTTCTATCTGTAACATGCTTCCAAATTTTGAAGAAATACTATCTATCATCGGCGAGAGAGCTAGTGAGGATCAATGGAACAACAAAGGCTCCAGTTATGAATTATGCAACTGAATCCTACCTTGGTGTTGTGACAATAAGGGCATTTGGGATGATTGAGAGGTTCTTCGGGACAAGCTTAAAGTTGGTCAATACTGATGCAACACTATTTTTTCATACCATTGCTGCCATGGAATGGGTACTGATAAGAGTGGATCTGCTGCAAAACTTAACCATAATGACTTCAACTATTTTCCTTGTTTTGGTTCCTCAGGGATCCATTTCTCCAGGTACAAACATATATATCATAATCCATATATACTCATGACTCTACATAAGAAGGGTATTAAATTATATACCTCCATAAATATGTGAACTCACTGGTATATCATATCAATCTTTGAGATTATTTTAAATACGCCTTAAAATATACATTTTTACTAATATGCCATGACACTTCCAACTCTAGTTAACATAATTTGAAGTTTAGGATAGCAAGTAATTTTAGTGCTAGACAGTGTATGTTCTCAGGGACCTGATCAACCTATTTGACTAGCCCAATTAGTAGGTTTGTACTTCATGAACCTGAAAGTTTAACATAACTCGCACTGTCGGCCGGTCGTACTTTATGAGCCAGTTTTAATTTTTAAGGATTTTTACCCAAGCCAACTTAACCTAGGTTATGTTGACAGCTATTTTTACAGTTAATGTGAATTTAAGATTAATTTTAAATATTAAATGAATATTTCCTTTAGGTTGACACCAACTTTCTTAGAAAACTGCATGATGAGAGTTTATAGACTGAAGCGATATGTCAATAATATCAAATATTCAGATAGAATTTCCAGTAAATTCTTAGGAAATAAAATATGACGCTGTATACTATAGAAGACTTACAAACGTGAATTCATTCCAGGATTTTCAGGACTTTGTCTTTCCTATGCTCTTAGCCTGTCTTCAACTCAAGTGTTTGCTACTCGTTTCTATTCCTACATGGAAAACTACATCATATCAGTAGAGAGAATCAAGCAGTTCATGCATATCCCACCAGAACCACCAGCAGTGATTGAAGAAAGCAGACCACCACCTTCATGGCCCCTCGAAGGAAGAATCGACATACAAAATCTCAAGGTTAAGACTCATCTCTATTGATTCCATTGTGGTCTTGTAATTCTTACTTGGCTTATATTCATGTGTGCAGATTAGATATAAGCCATCAGCTCCATTTGTTCTCAAAGGAATCACATGTACATTTTCAGCTGGAAATAAGATTGGAGTCGTCGGACGAACCGGAAGTGGCAAAACAACTCTTATAAGTGCTTTATTTCGTCTGATAGATCCTGCAGAAGGGAGGATTCTGATTGACAGCATTGACATTTGCTCTATAGGACTCAAGGATTTGAGAATGAAACTTAGTATAATTCCTCAAGAACCAACTCTTTTCAGGGGGAGCATTCGAAGTAATCTGGATCCTCTTGGAGTTTATACTGATCATGAGATTTGGGAGGTTGAGCATCTCTTTCAACTTATTACATAGCTTAAAATATGTATCTGATTTTTTTTCCATAGTAAATTAATCTTGTAGTAATTAGATAGAGCATCGATAACTGTCGCAAGCTCTAATTGAAAATGTGGAATTCCATTATGTCAGGCCTTGGAACGCTGTCAGTTGAAGTCGGTCATTAGAAGCCTTCCTGCTCAGCTTGATTCCTCTGGTAAGTCAGTTTATCTATTGATGCTAGCCAGGTTTTAACTCAGGACCAAGAAAGGCCGGATTTTAATGGGCCAAAAGCTAGAAAAAGGACAAAATAGCCTCATGACTCTTTTTTCATGTCTAGTTTAAGGCTAAATTTTTGAAATGTTACTTTTTTAAGATTTATTATTTTAAATCGACATTTAAAAAATAAAATTTATTAAATCGACAAAGTTGCCACCTCACATGATTAGATAAAATTGCTGCTGACATAGCGACTTTGAATTTAATTTTGTTTTTTTCATGATGAGCACACCTATCTTTATCACCCAAAAAACAAAACTGGAACTAATAAAATCAAATCCCCTGATTTACACCCTCACTTCACTCCCTTTCTTATTCTCTCTTGTAGTTCGTCCCCCCTTTACACAGCTCATGCCACATTTCCCTCTCACTTAATTCATTTCTTTTTTTATTATTATTTTTCAGGCATATTTTTCTCTCCCATTTTCATGTAAAAAAGGACACCTCTCCATATTTCTCTTGATATTCTCTCTCATTCAGGTAATCCCTCAAACTCCCCACTTTTCTCCCTCCCCAGAAAACCCAAAACCCTCCCAGATTTCACTGTCTCGCTCCCTACACCTTCTCTTCCCACAAACATTCTCTCTCCCACGAGCTGCATTCGCATAGAACAGCCTGATTCGACTCCCTTTAAAGAGATTTTTGTCACCTACTCATCTCCTTGGCAACCAAACACCTCCCTTCCTACCTCTCAGCTCTAGCCAAACCTCATTCTTGTAGTCACCTCATGTCAGCGATCCTATTCTCCTGCTTCGGCTAAAGAAACCAAAGTAAGTAATTGCTCTTAAAAACTTATTCCATTCATTAAGCACTCCGGCTTATATAGAGCCTTACAATATTTTATAAATAAATCCCTCTAATTCTTTTATATTTCCTATTTACAAATAGAACTCGAAACCAGATACAAATCTCATCACTCCCCCTCAACATGGGCGAAAGATATCCACTAAACTCATCTTGTCACATAACTTAGACAAGCCTAATAGGCTAAGTCTTCTTGTAAGGCAGTCAGCCACTTGCTCTCCAGTGGCTACATGACTTAGCTCCAGTAGCCCTTTATTCAACTTTCCCTTGATGAAGAACCTATCAATTTGCACATGTTTGGTTCTATCGTGTTGCACCGAGTTGTTGGCAAAGCTGATTGCTAACTTGTTGTCGCACCACTACTTCATTTGAGCTTCTTAGTCCACGAAGGGCTCTACCAACAAGGTTCTCAACCACATCATCTCAGCAACGCCTAAGGCCCTAGCCCCTATTATACCCTGCCTCTGTTGTTGACCTTGCTACTATCGATTGTCTCTTGCTATTCCAAGAGACCAAGTTGGCCCTACGAACATGCACTATCCAGATGTGGACCTCTTGTCATCATCACAACTCACTCAGTCAGAATCACAATAGCTCTTAATGCTTATATGTTCATTTTTCCTAAAGATCAACCCCATCCCAAGTGCACTCTTCAGATATCTCATAATCTGATACACCGCATCCATGTGGCCCTTTTTCGGATCATGCATGTAGCAACTCACCACGCTTACTATAAATAATATCGGGACGAGCGTGACTCGGATAGATGAGACAACATACCAACCACTGGTACCTCTCGCGATCAACAAACGCAGATGCCTATGCACTCAACTTTCCCTTCTGATCAATTGTTGAAACTGCAGGCTGCATCCCAATACGTATGATCTGTGAGCAAATTTAGCAGACTTCCTCTGCGATAAAAAAACTCTCTCTGCTCCATGAGTCACCTCAATCCCAAGGAAGTATCTAAGCTGTCTAAAGTCCATCTCAAACTCTTCGCCCAATCTTGTCTTTAGCTGTGCAATCTCTCCCTCAACATCACCGATGACTATCATAACATTCACGACAAACATGATAATGTGACCGGCATGTCGTTGAATGAACATCTTGTGGTCGATATTGATCAGTTGATAGCACATGTCTACCATTGGTCTCCTGAACCAATCAAACCAAGCTCGAAAAGACTGTTTCAACCCAGTATTACTGCGAGAGATCCTCCTTAAAGTCATGGAAGTGAGAGGACAAGAGAGGAATCATATCACCTGTATAATCTGATTCTGAGGTGAATAGTGTAAGTGTCTTAGGAGTCGGGGTAGACCGAGATAAAGGACTTCCCTCATTCAGCCTCCTCTTAGTATACATTTTCAGCTCCCCTTGAGCTTGAATCCCACCACCTTCAAGCTCATTTTCCTCATTATTTGGCTCGTTCAGTCGATCTTTCCCACACAACAAGACAATACATCGTTTCCACATGTACTGATCTCTCGCCATCACCACTCTCCCTCTCTCACTTTATACCTCCAATATCTGGTGAGTCACTAAAGGGTGAGGTCACCTTTAAGGAGTAGTAAGGTTCAAATTCTCTAAACGTTATATCCACCCTCACAAATAGTCTCTTCTATATTGAGTTTCAAGAAACATATCTCTTCTGAGTAGCAGAACAACCCACGAAAATGCACTTCACAATTCTGGGATCCAGCTTCACTATTGATGATCTATTTTCTTTCACAAAACATAAATAACCAAATACCTTCAATAAAAGGATCCCGCAATTATCTCCTTTCAGCAACTCACAAAAATATTGTCAGTCTAACAATCTCGAAGGCATTTCGTTGATCAATTGAGATGCTGCCAAAATTATGTCCCTACAAGTTCTTTGGGATATTCATAGAGATCATTATGTTTCGGGTTACCTCTAAAATGTGTTTATTCTTCCTCTCTAGTACTCTGTCTTTTGCCAATGTGTACGGACATTTGGTTTGATGTTATATCCATTGGGCTGACAGGTACTCCCCAAACACCTTGTTAGTATATTGTCTCATTATCATACGTTAATATCACTACTGCACCGTATTGTGTCTCAGTCGTCCTGAGAAAATCTTTAAAGCAGACAAACATATGTCTTTTGTTTCTCATCAGACATAACAAAGTAACACAAGAAGAATAATTAATGAGAGTCATAATATATTTATAACCATTTATCGAAGTTGTAGAACAAAATCTCCATACATATGAGTGCACCAAATCAAACACACAAGAACTTTTATAACCAGAACTAACATAAGAGCTTCTTGTATGCTTGCCAAACTCACAAGCATCACACACTAGTTTTTATTTATTTGCTTTTTCATACAAAGACGGATACAAACGTCTCAATAGACTAAACAAAGAGTATCTCGTGCGTCTATGAAGTAGCAGCAACACATCATCCATACTCCTCCCAGATCCTCCAACTTTAACACTCTCTACTATGGATATCAAAGCTAAGTTCATCTCCTCTCTATCCAAGTACCAGAGTCCACTATGTCACATGTCAGTCCAAAGTCTCCGGTCAATCCGCGCCTATTAAAATATTATCTTAAAAATATCAAATCAAACAACACATTTCAGTTAGAAAATAATAACACTAATGGATAAAAGATTTACTATAAAAGAAAGAGCATGCAAACATTGTATAAAGTCATAGAATCGACGCACCTCGTTGTAACTTTATCAATCATAGGTTGTATTGTACCATCAGCGGTGTGAATGTTCTCTAGAACTATTGGATGAGAATAGAAAAAGAACTCACTAGTGCTATCGATCACATGTCGAGATGCATCAAAATTTACTATCTATCCTAGTGATCTTGTGGTGGATATAAAGATAAGAGCATGTATATCACGAGCACTTTTGACTTAGTAAACATAAGTAGTAGTGTTTCTCTTGGATGAAAAAAATCATTACGTCCGGACCTACTCTATATCACGGCCGTCGCCCGGACGACGAACGTAATAATCTCTACTTGGATGGACCCTCAGGAAAAATTCATTACGTCCGGACCTCCTCTATATCACGGCCGTCGCCCGGACGTAGCTCGGCGTCCGGACAACGAACGTAATAATCTCTACTTGGATGGACCCTCAGTCACATCAACTGCTGCTCTTTGCTTCCTTTGCAACATCCTTATAAATTCATGATCCTCATCGGTAAAGATCACCCATATCTCTTCCTTATTCTCTAATACCATTAGATTTGCTATGTGGCCCCCTCCTCCAATCCTTTAGCCTCCACGATTACGACCACGATCTGTATACTATTCATGTCCACCTGTCTCTCTCTTTAGATAGATTTTGGACAAACCGTGCTAAGTTGTCTCACTTCTTTATAATTGTAGCACCTACAGGTCTCTCCCTAAGCGCCTGTCATACCTGAGATTAAAGCAACCAAATCTGATCATGGACTTGGAAGTCCACTCGGCTCAAAGTATAGCCTCATGCTATTATCGTCTAGTATCATCGCGGCAATGGCCTCATCCAGTGAAGGAATCGTTCCCTGGGCTAGGAGGATTCATCTCCTCTTATCAGAAGTTGGGTTCAAATGAGCCAAAAACTGCATAGTCCACATTCGAGCAAAGATCACCATAGTTCGACATCGGTGAGAAGTGATCATAATCTGACCACAACAGCTCTAGATCTATGGAGTACTTTGGAATTGATCTATCACCCTCAACCAATGTCTCTATCTCACACTGAATCTGGAACACTCTCATGTGGTTCTCACTTGAATCTGCAAGACCCTGATGTGGTTCTTAGCTCTATCATAGATCTTTTTTTTCTGCTTCGCCCAGATATCGCTTACCTTTTGAGTATCATCCATTGATGAAGCAATCAATGGAACCATCGAAATCAATGGAACCATCGAGTTGAGTAATTGGGTGTAAAGCAATGCATTTGTGGTCCTCCACTCATCGCCCTCGGCACTTTCACTCTTTGGCTTGACCTCCGTCAAGTATCCCTCTAATCTTTTCCTTACTAGAGCAGCTTCAATACAATGCGACCAACTCAAATACCTGGCCTGTCCATCAAGCTTCAGATCCATGGGAGGGAAATCTAGTTTCACTTGCGTCGGAGCACGTGTTGAGGTAGTGGCTCCCGTTGAGACGTCAGCTTCCTGTATGAGTCTGATCAAGATCTTCAAAACTAGCTTCCTGTATGAGCCTGATCAAGATCTTCAAAACTTAAGACAGCTTCCTGTATGAGTCTGATCAAGATCTTCAAAACTTAAGATCTGTATGAGCCTGATCAAGATCTTCAAAACTTAAGAATCTATCTGCCCAAGAAATTCAAATCCTTCACCTCCCTCACTATCTTCATCTTCTGACATCCTCAATCACAAGACTAGTGCATGATAATCACATTGTTGCCTTTCCAATTAGCTCCAATTGTCACTGTATCCTTCAAGTCACACCACAATCCCGTCGTTGCCCCAGTTAGCACATCGCAATCCCATTGTTGCCTTCTAAGTTTGCTCTAATCACAACTGTATGGCGAGGGTCACGCCCCACTCCCGTAGTTTCCTTCCCAGTTAGCTCTAATCGCGACTGTATCGCAAGACTCACGCTGCATTCCCTTCGTTGGCTTCCCAGTTAGCTCTAATCGTTACTGTATCACGAGAACGAAGCGCACGGATAAAAAAACATGGGAGTTTCGGGTTTCTATACGCCGATCCCAACTCATGAGCAGCCGACCGCGGATCGAGCAGCGATTCTGCAAGCCGCGATCTTCCGCGTCACGCGTGAGGGATCTCTGGAATCCGCGACCCTACAGCAGATGATGGGAGCTTTAGGTCTCTATACGCCCATCCCCATGCTCAAACACGGCTAGGTCTAGAACCTAGCCCAGAAATAAAACACAAGTAAATTCTCTTAAAAATTTGTCCTATTCATTGACCAAAAGATTTATCATGCATAGTTTTACAATATTTGACAAAGAAATTTCTTAAATTTTTTTATATTCCTTATTTATAAATAGGATTCTAAATTAAATACAAATCGCAACAAATCCAAAAAATTGAGCTCCATTCTTATTTAATTTCATGTCTCCTCAGTCTCAAGCTCTCTCTCTCTCTCTCTCTTTTTTTTCTATGAGGGTCAAACCGGAACCAACCTTATATCATAGCACCAACACACCACATCTAGTTACCATGGCACCATTGGCGAGAAACCTTCTCATCTGCAAAGCCATCACACCCGTGACTCTACTCCTTTTGCCATTGGCGTTCCTCACAGACACATGATCGCTGAAACGCCAATTACAAAATGGCCACATTAATGGTGATTTTACCTGCTAATGTGGCAAAGTATCCGCTGACATAACAACTTTGTTGATTTAAGACATTCTATTTTTTAATTGTCGATTTAAAATAATAAATATGAGAAAAAAACCTAAGTTAATCCTAAGGATCCCATGTCAAGGGTCAGGGTACTCCTTTGACATTTTACTCGGTCAAAAGCTACAAACAAAACCTGACCTTGTTTAGACATGTGAATATAACAACAAAAAGTGCTATTAGACTTGTATATTTTGCTGAAAGAAAGGAGAAAACTTTTACTAAGATAAACTGAAAGCAGAGCAGAGCAGACTAACCTCTGTGTTCCATGTGACAGTGAGCGACGACGGCGAGAATTGGAGCACGGGGCAGCGCCAACTCTTCTGCTTAGGCAGAGTCCTACTCCGCAAGAACAAAGTTCTTGTTCTCGACGAAGCTACGGCATCCATTGATTCTGCAACGGATGCTATTCTTCAGAGAATTATAAGGCAGCAGTTCTCAAACTGCACTGTGATTACTGTAGCACACAGGGTTCCAACAGTAACGGACAGCGACATGGTTATGGTGCTTTCTTATGGTACGCACTCTTTCATATATCATAAACCTTGGAACAGTATACTAAGGAGGATCTGGATTTGTCAAATTGATATATTATTGAAGAGTGTTTGGTTCAGTTGGGATTAAATATAGTTAAAATTGTTGGAAGTGTATTTTATTTCGGGTTCTTATTATTGTAGTGACTTTCTTCTTAAATTAAAGCTGATAATCTATGGAATAGTTAGGTTTAATAAATTCGGATTTACATTCAAAAAATAAATAGATGGGAGAGAGAAATGGATTAAATAAAGTCACGGATTTGATAAATTCATATTTCATGGATTTCGGCTATAAATCTCAGATATACTAAATCTCATGAATCGGTGGATCTACAGGATTTACGAGATTTGGAGGAAGAGTTATTCGATTTGTTCTACTTATTTGTCAAACAATTTTGTTGAATTTACATGATTTAGTAAATCCGTTACCAAATAGTTTTTTTGGATATATGTCATTCTCGATTTAGTAAATCCGGATTTATGAGATTTACTAAATCCTAAAAATTTAATTATCATCTTTTGTCTGGCAACCCCTTAAAATAACCATGTACATGTATTTTGCATGCTTATATAATGCTATATAATTCAGGTCAGCAAATGAACTTGGCTTCTTTTCAAAGCATTTTTCATTAATTTTTACAACTAGTTCTGTAATAATTTCATGACACTCTTTCGCAGGAAAGC